TCTCTCTCTCTCTTCTCTCTCTCTCTCTTCTCTCTCTCTCTCTTCTCTCTCTCTCTCTCGGATCCCCCGGGATGAAGAAAATGATGAGACGATATCACCTCTCCATGCGAGCAACCTTCTTCTCAATGTAGAAGCCAGGATCGGGCGTCCTCGTAGCCTTGAGCTCGCTCTTCGTCATGGACTCGGCCACCTCCTTGACGCGCACCAGTTCCTTGACCTTGAGGATCATACCGGCGGCCTGAGGGCTGACAGGGTGGAAGACGGACTGGGCTCGACGGCGAAGGCCGAGGGCCTTGAGGACACCGCGCGTACGCTCGGGGAGGCCAATGGCCGATCGATGGAGGGTGACGCGGAAGAAGGACATTCTTTTCTTTTGAGGGGAGGGCGGTTTTGTCCTGATCTCGAGGAGCTAAGGGATTTTTCCCCCCGTTTCCCTGTTAGATTTCGGAAAAGTCTTTTTTTTTTCGTGTGTGGCGTGTGGTGTGTGGGTTGTATCGTACGAGTTATGTTCTCGAGTTCGGGAGGGGTCAGAGACGGAAATCGTAGCTGCGCCTGTCCGCGGCTCTGCGCAATGGATTCTTGGGTATGAATATACTCGGTAGATGTCCTAGGATGTCGTCGTCGTCGAATGTTTAGGGAATTTAGATCCTTGCATCACGAAGTCATGTGACCTCAAGCTCTGAGATGACTTACCCTGGAGGTCAACCCCATTTTTTTTATTTTTTTTACAACACCTGAGTGATGTATATACGCATGGACTATTATTTTTCTTCATAGTTTGGTTATGACCAACTCATTGGTTCATGCCCATCCATGCTGACACGTCGCATCTTCCTATTGAGCAACAAGATTAACTACCCCTCTGCTGTTCCCATTTGTCGCACAATCGCAATGGCCACTCGTAAGCAGCTCTCACTCTCGGCCTCCTCCCTCCACTAGATCAGGGGGAGGGGCGGGGAGGACTCCTCTTTTTTTTTCTCTCTCCCTCTCGGGTTACCCTCTTGCATTGGGCCGGACTGACGACGATACAAGAGGAATGCAAAAAAGAAGTCCCTTCTGACCGTCGTCCTCTCATCATCTCCGGCCCCTCGGGCGTGGGAAAGGGGACGCTGTATCAGCTCCTCTTCAAGCGGCATCCGGACTGCTTCACGCTGTCGGTGTCCCACACGACTCGGTCCCCGCGGCCGGGGGAGTCGGACGGCGTGGACTACCACTTCGTGACCATGGACGAGTTCGAGTCGCTGATCGACAAGGAAGGCTTCGTGGAGCACGCCAAGTTCGGCGGGAACCGGTACGGGACCAGCAAGGCCACCATCCAGGAGCAGACCGCCAAGGGACGCATCGTGGTGCTGGACATTGAGATGGAGGGCGTCAAGCAGATCAAGCAGTCCAAACTGGACGCGCGGTACGTCTTCATCGCCCCGCCCTCACTCCACGTGCTCGAGGCCAGGCTCAGGGGCCGCGGGACCGAGACGGAGGGTGCCGTCCTGAAGAGGCTCGCCCAGGCAAAGAATGAGCTCGAGTACGCCAAGACCCCCGGGGTCCATGACATCATCATCGTCAATGACGACCTCGAGGAGGCGTACAAGAAGCTCGAGGAGTTCATCTACAAGTCCTAGATGAGAATGCGCTTGCCTGACTCTAGTACTATACAAGACCCAAAAGAAAAAGAAGAAGAAGAAGAGAAGAAGAAAATGCGTACAGAGTCTGTTTCCTTGACCTTTGATACGTGCCGTGGCTATGAGACATGTTTGTGCTGCTGCATGTATACTCTTCTACCCTTTTCAAGTATCATCACTGCTTTTCAAGACAATCTCCAAGTCAAGTTCGATACTACCACTGCTATAGTGTTTTTTTTCACTCGTGTTCTTTTTTTATTATACTCGTCAACAGCAGAAGGTGCAGTTCAACAAGAAGAAGAAAGAGGACAAGAGGTGAGATACATAGCGGATGCCTTACCTATCGAAAGGATCGAATGAAGTCATACCCACCACCGTCGTCATTGTTGCGATGATTGTGTTTCCCACCGTCGCTTCTCCGCCTGCAGCGAATTCATCATGACGTTACTCGCATCTCGTCTTGCTCGTCTTGGTGCTGGCCAGGTGATGCCTTCTCACGAGCTTACGCACGGTCCGCAACATGGGCTGGTCAAAGACTGGTCAAAGACTGGGAATAGCAGCATGGAGTTGCGGTTCTCGAGCCTTCCGTCTTTGAAAACGATGCTGCGCCTGCTCATATCCCGTACTGCGCTGCCCTCTACTGACTCAGACTCCGATTCCGTGGGGGATCACGGCCGGCGAGACGACCCTTGCACTTCAAGTCTGATGTCATTCATCCTGCTGCACCGGCAGTACGCCGAGGTTCCGGTATCGGTATTCGAGCGCCCGAAGCTGCCCGGGAAGGCCGGCAAAGCGTGACTTTCCCCAGGCTCCTATCTCGCCGGGCCCGTGTTGTCCAAGTTGGCCACACCGGCTGGGATTCCCTGCCTCAGACCAGGCAGCTGAGTTCTGGGGGGAGGGGAATATCGCGGGGTGTGGGGGAAGAAGACAGGTGATTTTTTTCTTCTTCTTCTTTTCCTTCTCGGGTATTCTGACCATGGGCCTTGATCTCCCTCTCTACACTCGGGCGACGGGATTAAGGAGGGGTGGTGAAGATGATGACGATTTACATCTCTAGGAGGCAGATGGAACCTCTGACCCTGCTTGCCTCCATACTCCCTTGAGCTCTATCAATACTAGACAAGCCCGACGCTTCCAATGCTTCCAATGACTCTTTAGCAACCGGGTCGTGGGATAAGCGCTCCCCTCTGATACCAGGGCTTATACGCGCCAGTATATCCCAGGAAGGAAGCCGTGTGGTTTCTTGCTGCGACTGACCGGGCGAGCTCTTGCTTCCTTTCCCTCTTCTTCAGAAGTTACATGATCCATTCTGACCTCAGAAGAGAGGCGGATGGAGAGAGAGGTAGAAGGGGACGATTGAGTGACGGAAGCAGAACATCTCCTTCGCTCGTCTACTCGATACGACGGACCGCACCCCGTCTCCCCAAGAGTCTCGAGTGCTACTACCTCACCGACTCCCACCTCGTATCACTGGTAGAATACTCCGGTACTGTGCTTTCATCACTACCAGAATGTGAATTCATCAAAACCCTCCTCACGCGCCCCCATATCTGCCATCCGCTGCGTGAGTCGTAGTAGGATCATGTTTCACAACTAATGAGCTTGACCCTTCCCAGACTCTATACCTCAAAGTACCAGTACAACAGAATGAATACATAGGACATGGGACAAAGGGAGGAACTCCCCCCCTCCCCCCTCCCCCTCGGTCTCTGGGAGCATCCTATCCTTCCTCCCCCTGTCGTGCATCACACCGCCATGGCGCAGGAATCCTGCTGTACGTGTACTTTGAACGACACAGACGCCCACACCGCGACGTCGTAAATCATCTTACCGCCTTGGTGGGATACGTAGCAACACGGCAATCCGGGATTCTGTATCCAGGGATAGATCACATGTAGGTACTTAATACAGAGAGGGGAGTGGTTGGATTGGCCGTCTCCCCAAGGCCCAAGGGTCATAAATTCGTAATCCGCCGTGTGTTACTGGTCGTACGAGAACACACAAGACATTCAACTTTATCCCCCCAACCAGATAGATTGACATGTCATCAAGATTGGACGAGTTCGGATATTATTACCTATACTACCCCGTACTGTGATAGGTAATAAAATACCTATCAATAATGAAGTAGTCAGTACTACAGTCGTGATAGTATTGCTCGCTGCACTACCGTAGCGTTACGAGCGACACAAGTACAACCAAGTAATACTCCAAGCAGCAGACAAACCGTCGGATGACCACGAACAGCATCACTATCAAAAGGCGAAAAGGAAGAAGAAAATGTCGAGGCAAGGAATGCAGAGAGTACTGAATAATCATCAAATCGTCCTTGTGGTTCCAGAGTAATATTAATTGCTGATTCGGCAGCTTCCTAGCACTACACACATATATTCGGGCATTTCCATACACGCCCCCGACACCCCTTTTGCAGTCCCATAGCAGTAGTAGCGAGCATCTATCCGTAAATTTAGACTTTGGCAGGTCGCGGTGCTTACACCTGGACCTCCACACGGCCCTCCTTGCCAGGCTGGCCCTGCGAGAGGGTGGGGAGGAGGTAGGTGATGTCGTCCCAGGGATGACGGTAGAGGCCGGTGCGCAGGCGCTTCTGGTCCAGGAAGTGGGCAATCAGACCGATGCTGCGGCCCAGGACGAAGAGACCATTGAGGACTCCCATCTTGAGGTAGTCCTCGGCCTCCTCGGTCGAGAAGGCACCGCAGTTGCGGAGGAGGTCGACGAAGCAGACGGCGATGCAGCCGTCGACGTTGAGGATCAGGTTGTCCTTCTTGGACGTCGTAACCGACTCGACGGCCAGGGCGTAGTCGAGGAGCTTGTGGCTGGGGAAGTTGGCCAGGACGTACTCCTTGACCAGCTCGACGCGCAGGTCGGGGTTGTTGCGCGATTTGATGCGGTGGCCGATACCGGGTATCAGCTTGTTGGCCTTGCGCATGCCGTCGACGAACTCGCGGGGGCTGAGGCCCGTGTCAAAGGCCTTGGTGAACTCGTCGGCGGCACCGTCCAGGGCGCCACCGAAGCGTGAGCCGATCGTCAGGAGACCGGAGACGAGGGCGCTGATCAGGTCCTTGCCGGCACGGGTGGTGATGATGGTGTTCATGGCACCTGACACGGCAGGGCCGTGGTCGGCGGTGAGCATGAGGACCATCTCGAGGAACTTGGAGGCGTAGCTGGGCAGGCGGCGACGGAACCAGAGCAGGGACATGACACCGCCGATGCCAATGTCCTCGCGGAAGACGTCCGAGATGGGCATACCGGCGTAGAGGAGCTCCTGACCACGGTCGTCCGAGATGGTGGAGATGAAGGCGGCAGGCTTACGGATGAGACCGAGCTCCTGGGCCCACGAGTAGTCCATGGGGATCTTGGGGACGGCGGGTTCAGCCTGGGGCACAATGGTACCCTCCTTGACGAGCCTGTTGTAGACCTCGGTGAGGGTCTCGGGGAGGTCCTCAAAGGTGTTGGGGACGAAGAAGCCGGCGTCGCGCATCGACTTGTTCTTGGTGGCGGCCGTCTCGAGCTGCGAGTTGGCAAAGGAGCCGGCGTGGCCGAACTGGACCTCGGTCTTGAACATGCTGGCACACGTACCAATGGCCCAGGCAACGATGGGCTTGGTGATGACGCCCTGCTTGACGGCCTCGATGACCTTGTACTCCTCAACACCACCGACCTCGCCGAGGAGGACGAGAATCTTGCACTCGGGGTCGGCCTGGTAGCGGAGCATGTGGTCGATAAAGGTGGTGCCGGGGTAGCGGTCACCTCCGATGGCGACACCCTCGTAGACGCCGTCGGTGGTCTGGGAGATGATGTTGTTGAGCTCGTTGGACATGCCGCCAGACTTGGAGACGTAGCCGACGGAACCCTTGCGGTACAGCTTGGAGGCGACAATGTTGTCCATCATGCCACCAGTGTTACCAATCTTGAAGCTTCCAGGTTTGATGCCACCAACGGTGGCGGGGCCAATGATGGTGACGCCCTTCTTCTGGGCAACGTGGGCAATCTCACGGGCGCGCTGCACGACGAGTCAGCATTCCTGTCCTCCGGCCGATCCTATCGAGGGGGGAGGTAGAGCTGGACTTACACGCTCAGGGACACCCTCGGCAATGATAGCGATGGTCTTGACTTGAGGGTGCTCCATGAGTTCCATGGTGGAGCTGTAGACGGAGCGGGACGAGGCGAAGTTGACGACGACGTCAACGTCGGGGTGCTTGCTGATGGCCTTCTCGACCTGCTGGTAGACGGGCAGCAGGGTCTCGCTGGTACCCCAGTACATCTTGCTGACGAACTGGCCGCCAAAGGTGTAGATGATCCCGGCGACAGACGGCGTCTTACGCTTGCAGATGAAGTCGAAGTCGAGCATACCCTGGACGGCACGGGGCTGGAGACCGTAGACGAGGCATCGTGTCTTGTCGTTGAAGAGGGCGTGCGAGGGGAGGGGGCTCAGAGGACGGCTGGGAGCGGCGAAACGCTGGATCTTGTCGTTGGCCGACAGGCCAGCATTTCCGTTGGAAGCCATTATGGAGAGAGCTGGACAGGAGGTCTCTAAGAGGCGGGGTCCAGGTCAGCAAGTGTCTGCACACGAGAGGAGCGAGCAGGCACAACGGTTTTCAAGCTGCGACGCTCAAGTTGGTCTGATGAGAGGGTATGAAAAAAAAAAAAAAGAAGAGACCAGAGACTGCTGTTATGGGCTTCAAGACGAGGCACGCACACAGAACGTCAATGGCGAGAGAGTGTGGTGGGGAGAAGAGAAGATGAAGAAGGAGAAGACGATAGAGGGTGGGGGGGGAGTTGGGAAAGGGCGAGGGACAGGCGAGGCGAGCGGAATGGAGGGAACGAGGAAATTGAGAGCGAAGGTCTCGCCCGGTGATGGGATTGGGCCGGGGGAGGGACAGAGGGACAGAGCGACTTTGGGGGTGGTGCCAGCTCTCACAGTCAGAGAAGGCGGTGCGGTGGGCTGTGGTTGTTGTGGTGTTAGTAGTGGTGGTGAGGCCCCTCCCCAGAGCAGGCGGGCACCTCTCTACCTGGAGGGGATTCCAAAGGTAGGTTACACCACTATCGGTGGTAGACTTGCAGCCACAGAGCCTGCAGCCCACCTAGAGCTCTGTAAACAGCATGAAAGGCTTCTTCCTAGAAGAGCTCCGCTAGAAAGTCGGAGGGACAGCCCGCCACTTTGCATATCCCCCCCGCCGCTAGCTAGCAGCTGTACGTAAGTAGTTGGAATCAAGGCGCCAAAGGCAGCATGAAAGCTACTCATGGCACCCCACCGACCCGCAAACGCGGCTCTGATTCCCTGGCCCGTCCAAGCAAAACAAAAAAGCACTCGCTCATGATGATGGACCAAAAGAACAAACGAAAAAAAAACCCCGCGTTCGTATTGCAGCAGTGGTGCATCTTTTTTTTTTCTCACTCACCTTTTTTGTTTAGATTGCTGATGTGCCACAGGATTGAGGACAGAGATGATTGTCGAGAGGGAGAGAAGGTGAGAGTCAGGAAGTGTGAGGGGTGACGTACACAACAAAGCTGTCCTTTGCTCAAGGGCAAGCAAGATAAACAAGTTGGGGAAGAGGGAGAAAAACTTTGGGGTGGAAGAGCGCCGTCGTCTGTGTGTGTGTGAGTGAGTCGGTGGGCTCAATAATCCTGTCCTTTTTTTTTTCGTTGACCCGAGTGTTGAATCGGTGGCCCCAGCCAAGTCAGCCAAGCAAGCTTCCATCGCGTACAATGCGTATGTACGAGGTACTCGTACGAGTTGATACTCGGAATAATCAGCCCCGCCTTTTTTTGCTCGGGCAATGGCCGCGTGCCTGGGGCTACACATCCATTCAAGTCGTGCTCTTGTACCGGTACAAAGGTACCCGCCGTCATGAGCCCGTTGTCCATCATGGGAAATGAGCTGCGTACTTGGATCGAACCATTTTTCCCTCTCTCGCACACCGCACTGCTGCTCCGGAAACGAGGGCCTGAGAGGGATCGGTGCGAGCATGATGAGGGGCAGCTGACATCCTCCTCTGGTTTGCGTCTCTCTGCAGGGTGCTTTGCTTTTCCCCCTGGTCAGAAAACCTGGTCGGGCAAACCTGGCCAGGGTGAGGATGGCCTTGTGCGATGGAGGTCGGGGGAATTTCATGGAATACGCCGCATTGGGTTTTCCCCGGAGACGAGCAAGACTCCCACCCGTTTGTGCCCCTCCCCCTCTCCCTTCGTAGTCTGCCAACACTGTCAGCACTCCGTCGTCACGGCCACCACCACCGTCATTGTCTGGAAGGGTGGCCAACCTCGGGACGAAACCAAATGAGGAATACACCTCACCTCGCCGCCGACTTCGGCGAATCTCTCTCCGGCGACAGAATTTCCTTGATTCCTCTTGGTCCCGTCGCTCTTGGCCGTACATTGTAAAACCATCGGTAACCGTATTAGACTTGCTGGCTTGCGTCGTATGGCGCCTTTGCATGGCTCCACTTGGCGTCTCTCAACAGCTGTCATCATGTACCGGTACAAGTGACCCGTCACCGATGGCTGTCTCAACCCCAAAGTTTTTTTTTCTGCCGCACCCCTGAACCCTCAAAGTAATGGTACTCGTACCTTCCGGGTTCCTTGAGTGTGTGTGGTGGCATGGAGGGGCCTTGGGTCAGAAATGCTTCACCGCCCGCTCGGCCCCTTCTCCCCTCACCTCCCCACCCCACCATATTCTTCTCACTGCTTGCTTCGGCTTTGCTTCTGCTGAGAGACGGCAAGCCCCTCCCCCATCTTGCCCTGAACCTGAGAGGTCTGAAGGTTGTTGTAGCACTGTAATTCGTCTGGTCAGCGCCTCTGTGTCTCCCAGTTTTCTCCCTCCCTCTTTTCGCTCTATCCCAGCAGCCGCAGCTGTGTCCCCAATTTTCGATAGAGGGTCTCCCTTTCTGCCGCCTTTTTTTCTGCCCGCCTTTGCTAGCAATCCGCCGCCCCCCCCCCCCCAGTCAACCAGAACCAGAGAGATCCTCAATCCAGTCAACACCACCCCCACCGCTCTGCGACGCATCATCCTCTGCTTCAAACTTACCTCTTTCTTCTTCTTCTCTCTCTTGGGCTGTAACTGTCGTTGTCATCCAGTTCCTCTTTTTTTCTTCTCTCCTCTCCTCTCGTCCTGTCGCAGCTTGCCCGTTTGAGCTGGCGTAGTGGTAAGTTGAGAGCTTTTGCCCCTCCAAGCTGCGTGCTTCAGACAAGGTGTCCGCATTGTGGCAGTTCCAGCTCGGTCGACAACAGCGTAACCGTCCCCAAAATCGCAACAGAAGCTTTTGTGACTTGTAGGATAACTCCATCATCACATTCGGTTCTCCTGTGCGTTCGGGAACCAAGAAAAACACCTTGTTTCTCTCGCTGGTGCTGGTGCTGGGACTGGGAAAACACTTGTTCTCTCTGTACTGGAGGATTTGAGAAATCAAGACGAATGCTGACACAAGTTTCCTTGTTCAGACAGAATATACCTTCACCTCCACCCCTCCCCCCTTTTTTTTTCTTTAAAAAAAGGAAGAAGGATATAGACCCCTCGGCTCATCTTCCTTTCTCTCCCTCCCTCACAACCTAGCAGCCACCATGTCTGCCAAGTCGATCCTCGAGGCCGACGGTAAGGCCATCCTCAACTACCACCTCACTCGTGCTCCCGTCATCAAGCCGAGCCCTCTGCCCAAGCCGACCAAGCATAACCCTCCCTCTCGCCTGGCTTCCCTGCACTTCCCCGAGGACGCTGAGGTCGAGGACGTCCTCAACCAGGCCGAGGTTACCTACCCGTGGCTGCTGCACCCCGGTGCCAAATTCGTCGCCAAGCCCGACCAGCTCATCAAGCGCCGAGGCAAGAGCGGTCTCCTGGCCCTGAACAAGACCTGGGCCGAGTCCAGGGCTTGGGTTGCTGAGCGTGCCCGCAAGGAGCAGAAGGTTGAGCACACGACTGGTCTCCTGACTCAGTTCCTCGTCGAGCCCTTTGTGCCTCACCCCCAAGACACCGAGTACTACATCAACATCCACTCGGTCCGCGATGTGAGTTTTTTTCTTTCTTCTTTTTTCTTTGTCCCCCTCCGATGTGTCACTGCTATTGAGTGGTGAGTGAGTGTGGGCTGTGATCAGCAAGGGCGTGTGGGCTGCTCATGCAACAAATCACATCTCTATCAACCGCGGGCGATACAGCCCAAAAAAACAAAAGCAGATGATGAAGGAGGGTGATTGATGACTATCTGTGGCTCTGTCTTCCTACTTTATAAACAGGAGAGAAAATGGCCCAATTTGTGGGTGTCCGGATCAGCTCTTACCGAAATGGGCTCACGGACGAACGGATGTTACAATGCCACGGGTCCCATTCACCACCCCCCGACCCCCTGCCCACTGCCCACTGCCCACTGCCCACTGCCCACTTTGCCACGCTACCACAATCACCCGCAGCAGCCCTATCTCACTCACACCCCACGCTAGACGTCAGGGAACACGGACTAGAAACATGTCAAACGTTCCTCTCCAGACCCATAGTATGCACCTATACTAATCATGATTTCCTTTCTCCTTACAGGGCGACTGGATCCTCTTCACCCACGAGGGTGGCGTTGACGTCGGGGATGTCGACGCCAAGGCTGAGAAGCTCCTGATCCCCGTCGACCTCACCGAGTATCCTTCGAACGAGGAGATTGCCTCGACTCTCCTCAAGAAGGTGCCGTCTGGTGTCCACGACGTGCTGGTTGACTTCATCAGCCGCCTGTACGCCGTCTACGTCGACTGCCAGTTCACCTACCTCGAGATCAACCCCCTGGTTGTCATCCCCAGCGAGGACAAGAAGTCTGCCGACGTGCACTTCCTCGACCTGGCTGCCAAGCTGGACCAGACTGCCGACTTTGAGTGCGGTGTCAAGTGGGCTATCGCCCGTTCGCCCGCGGCTCTGGGCATCACCAACGTGGCCACCGACGGCAAGGTCAACGTCGACGCCGGCCCCCCCATCGAGTTCCCGGCTCCCTTTGGCCGTGAGCTTTCCAAGGAGGAGGCTTACATTGCCGACCTGGACGCCAAGACTGGCGCTTCTCTCAAGCTGACGGTGCTCAACCCCAACGGTCGCGTCTGGACGCTCGTGGCCGGTGGCGGCGCCTCCGTCGTGTACGCCGACGCCATCGCCTCGGCCGGTTTCGCCGATGAGCTGGCCAACTACGGCGAGTACTCTGGTGCTCCCACCGAGTCGCAGACGTACCACTACGCCCGCACGGTGCTGGACCTGATGCTCCGGGCGCCCACGTCGGAGAAGGGCAAGGTTCTCTTCATCGGCGGTGGTATCGCCAACTTCACCAACGTTGCCAGCACGTTCAAGGGTGTGATCCGCGCTCTCCGCGACTACGCCGCTCAGCTCATCGAGCACAACGTCAAGATCTGGGTGCGTCGCGCCGGGCCCAACTACCAGGAAGGTCTCAAGAACATCAAGGCCGCCACCCTGGAGCTCGGCCTCGACGCCAAGGTGTTCGGCCCCGACATGCACGTGTCCGGTATCGTGCCCCTGGCCCTCGTCCCCGGAAAGTGGGAGGAGAGCAAGGCCCAGGAGTTTAGCGGTTAAAAGAACCCAGTCTGGCCCCCTTAGATGATGGGACATGACGAGGTTTCAAAATAAGAAATGAGAAGAAGAAAGCTACACACATACAAATCCCCATTTGATAATAATGATGATGGCCGAGGTAAAGGGGAATGGAAGTCTACACATGACAAGTCATGTATGGCAATGTCACGCTTCGGAATGATGCAGAGTCTTTTTTATTTTAATCTTCTTCAAAAAAGCGGTTGCGAAGGGAAGAAGATGAAAAAAGAAAAAAAAAAGAAAGAAAAAGGTAAATATGCTTTAATACAACTTGGCCTTTGGAACGTGTATGCTTCAAGGACGACTGGATTTGATGGGAGGTGATTACAATCGTATGTTGATACGCCTCGTTCTGTCGACGTGGCTTTGCAGCATGGTATGCCTTTGGTGACAATCACGTGTTGCGAACCACGGTTGGGTATGGTATGTACGGAATTAGTAATAATGGTAGTAGTAATGGTAGTATGCCTCGTCTGGATGCCGTGTATCTCGCAGGAATACCCCGTGTTATCAGACTCGTATCTGCCTTGAGACGTCATCATTTCCCCTCTTTTGGATCCTCCAGGGCCCAGCTTTAATTGTCGCAACGAGTCCGAGTCCGTCCTCCTTGCCGTCCTCCTTGCCGTCCTTGGAACTCAGAACCACAGTGGTTAGTAGTGGTACTATCAGCAGTATACAAGTAGATGCGCCTCTTCCGACACGTGCAGGGAGGATGAATAGCAAATGGCTCATATACACGTTGATGATTTGTGTAAGAGATACACAAGGGATATGAGTATGTCTGGAGCATGATGTATGATATGACATGCGGTGTCGTGACATGGAAGGAGGAGATGAGGGAAATTTAATATATATATATATATATATATATATATATATAATTATAGAATAAGATTAAAAAAAAAGGAAAGGGTAAAGATACCACGTCGGACGGGAGAGCAAGTTGTACTACGGAGTACATGTAGAGGTGATACTGCTAGTACAAACACAGGACCGGTCTGGAATAAGTAGGATGAACTGCCACACCCGAAACGGAAAGAGCCGATACAAAGATATCATGTATGTACGGTTGGAAGTTAGGTTGGAACAGACGAGACAGATGAGAGGGATGAGGAGATGAAGAAAAAAGAAAAGAAGAGAGAAAAGTAAGGATGCATAATTAGGGGACAGCAGATAGACAAATACACAGATTAGACGAGGCGTTGAAAGAAAAGGAAAAGAAAAGAAAAAAAGAAAAAAAAAAGATGGCGCGTTCATGCTGAAAAAGGAAAGACACACATACACATACACACACACACACACACCACCATCGCATCTGATACTGAGATATGCACACACGGATTGATGGCGCGGGGTCGCTACACTGTACATGGTGTACATTGTCATAAGCCCTGGCCGGGAAAGGTCGGGTTTGTCACACTATTTCGTCCCCTTGATGCCCGAAGGAGAGTGAGGGGCAAGGCCAAGCAAAGGTCACGGTCACGGTCAAAGTGAAAGGTTTCTAACATTTGTTTTTTGAAAGGAAAAGAAAGAGGAAATAAAAGGGATAGTTGGCAGGAAATAAGGATATTGATCAAGAGAAAGAAGAAGGGAAAAAGCAAAAGGTGAAACAGGAGTATATAGCTACGAACATGTGCTTTCCAAAAGAAGGGGGGGGGGGGGGAAGAAATATAATATATATATATATATATATATATATATATTATATAAGAAAAGGATATAAAAGAAAGAAGAAAAAAACACACAAGTTTGTTGCTGCTACCATAGTCAGTTCCCCTCAATGATCAACTGCCTCCAAGCAGTTTATATAGAAATAATCTCTCTTCCATAATCCTCCCCGCCCCCTCCATCATCTCTTCTTCATCCCTCTCTATCATATCCTTCTTCGGACTATCTTGGCACTTGTTTTTTCTTTTTTCCATTCTTTCTTTCTTTTCCTTTTATATCTCATATATATATATATATATGTATACACATCTCCTAACATTCACTCTCCTTGTCCAATTCTATTCAACTCCTCTTCTCTTTTCTTATCTTAACCTTCCTTACCCCAACCATAACCCACAATTCCATACCTTCACACTCACTCTCATTTGTACGTGATTTATAACCCTCCAAAGAGGGAGGCGAAGAGATAAACAAATACATTCCACATACACACACACACACACACACACACAAAAGATTGAAACACCCGCCTACCCCCCCCCC